TTAAATACATTTTTATGAGCTCTACAACTTTTGTTAGAAGCCGAAGAGTGATTTACTTAGTATAAAAAAAAGTTTTAAATAGAGATGCTGTGCTTTCGTACTCATAGTAAAATTTATATATAAAAAAAAAATTTTTTGTCCAGATGACTAGTGAATCGCCTATTAAAAATAATTAAAATTAAAGAGCTAAAATTTTTAAACAACAATATTCAAGAATAAAACAGATTGAGATAAATTACTATGAACTATAAGCACAAAATAATTTAAAATAATTCGAATTATATTAAAACAGTTTGAAACAATTAAAAATAATTGAAATTAAAGAGCTAATATTTTTAATAAACATCAATATTCAAGAATTAAATTAGACTATTTGATTTAAAATAGATAATCTATATTGAAATGATTTGAAATAATTTAGTAAAGTGTATTTAAATAAATAAAATGAAATTTATTTGTAAAATAGAAAAGTGAATAGGATTATTTAAAAAATCGAAATAATTTCAATAATTCTAATAAATAAAAATATCATATTAACTTATAAAAATTTTAAAATATTTGATTATTTCAATATTTATTTAATATTAAACCACTATTTTTTACAGAAATATAAATTTAATTAAATCAATTTGCAATAGTTCGAAGTTTTTTAAATTATTTTGTAAAAGTCTATTTCACATAAAATTATATTACTACATTTAGTAAAAAAAAATAATTTAAATAAATAAATTTGATATTAAATTTTTAAAAGTCTTAATTAGTTCATATTATTCGATGTTAATTTCGAAAAAAATTGATAATAGACAAAAATAGAATTTGTGTTAAAATTTTATATTGTTGCACAATCATTTTAAAATATCAATAATTAGGCTTATACTTATTTAGTTTTAGTCATTTTGAATCTATTCAATATTATTTATTATTATAAAATTAGTTAAAGTAAATTTATTTTATTTAATAATAATCTAAATTATTCATATTGATATTAATTTTTTTTTTTTTTTTTTTTTATTCTTTGACAGTCTTGTCGGTGCTCAAATACAAATTATATTACTATTAGACTACAAAACAAAGTTTCAAAAATTCTAATAATATCTAATTAAAAATTGCAAGCCTGATATCACCCAGCTACATCATGTGCACCCAGATGCAACGTGTTGCACCAACCTGTAAACAAGTTAGATAAACTTTGTCAGCCCGTCAAAGCTTTTCCCTTCATATTTTCTTTTTTTACCAAGAGCAAAAAAAAGTAATGATCTTATATCTAGTATAAAACTATCAATAGTACCAAGAAAACAAAAAGAAAAAACTAACTAAAAAAAAAACAAATAGAATGAAGGAGAATTTTTAAAGGAAAAATAAAAGGAGATATAATGAAATGTAAAAAAAGAAAATCGAAAAGAAAAGCCCAAGGGCTAACAAAGAAGGGAACTACCTCTATCAAGAAGCAGTACAAATAGAACGAAAGAAAAAGGAAAAGTGTACTATTATAACCTGTGCTAGGCAAGTATAAAAATTATATAACAATTACAACATTTGTATATCTCTAATAAAACGCTTCGTGACTCTATAACCGACTCTGGAATATTTGGTTCTGATCTAGAACTCAAGATCTATTCAAATTAGTAGCACCATATCCGTCGAACACGTGGTTGTAATCTACTCGGCTTTCCAGATTTGGGATGTAAACAATGTCGATTTTTTGGAGGGGGTAAGCCAAATCCCCACTTTTTGAAAAAAAAATTTTAAAAAACTGACAGAAGGAAGAAATACGAGGAGAGAGTTGCAAGTACTTTCAAAATTTTTAAACAAGTGTGTTGAAAGAGCAGAGCTTCTTGTTGTTTTCCCTGTGTTCTTCATTGAAGTAACAACCAAACAGCTTTGTCAATGGAGTTGGGCCTTCCCACCTATACTCTACCAAGATTTTTTATACAAGGGCACCGCCTGTCAGTTATCTTGTATAATAACGCTCCTGGCTTGTATGCCGAATGTCCTTCTTTAGAAGAGTCCCTGAAAGTAGTAGTTGACCTCTAAACAAACCACTGTATAGATCACAAATCTCCAACAAGTAGTTCTGGTTTTTCTTTAGCAAAAAATTTTGGTCTAGGTGATCATCGGGAAGAGTGATATTAATTTTAGTTTAATTTATAAAATTAACGATAATCTAAATATTAATTCGAATTTTATATATTTTGAATTAATTTGAATTAATTTGATTTAACCTGTAGGTTGATAGCATAGTGGTTATGCTTCCAGGTTGCAAATCGGATAGTTGCTAGTTTAATTTCTCCCAATGGCGGATTAATGAAAAATTTAAAAACGGAAGTGAAACACCGTGGGTACAGAGAACTTGGGATATCTATGGATAGACGTATTTAGAGAATAGTTATTCCGAGAAGTTGTGGCTATGAAGCAAGGCGTGTTAGAACCCGATTTGGAATAACCGAAGTCATGAGATATAATGTGAGGCCAAGTCTGATAAAGATACTACAAGAACTCGTAGCAACACCAGATTGGCTGATGAAAGTCCAGTACAATAATAAGATGATCTGATCTCTCTGGAGGATGGTGCAGTAGGTACCTAAATAGGCAACCAGGTAGGGTCGGCCTATTCTGAATGTACTCATAATAGTAGAAATACTTGATTTGTAGTCACCTCCCTATAGAGGGGTGGTTAGTAGAGATAGTTGGTTATGGCAAGACTTAGTAGAAGTATTAAAAAAAAAAAAAAAAAAAAAAAAAAAAATTAGCTTTAATTGATGATCCACCAGTTACCTGGTGCATAATCATAGTGTAACGTAATGCAGATTACTATGTAAATTACATAAGCAGAAAATGTGGAGATTTTTTAACAATTATTTAAAGAAACTTTTTTTCGTACTAAATTAATCAAACAAAATCAATTAATTGAAAGTTGTAGAGCTCGCTGAGGCGCATCTAATAGTGGTTAAATCATTGAAATCGACCTGGTGGTTCACAAGATATCGCTAAAAAACGATTGGCTGACTATATAAAATCTCTATATAAACAAACTATTATTTATATAGAGATTTTATATAGTCGACCAATCGTTTTTTAGCGATATCTCATGAACCACTGGGCCGATTTGGATAAATTAACCACTATTAGATGCGCCTTAGTGAGCTCTACAACTTTCAATTAATCGACTTTGTCAATTAACTTAGTATGAAAAAGTTTTCTTTAAATAATTGTCAAAAAATCTCCACATTTCCTGTTTATATAATTTACATAGTAATTTGCATTACATTATATTATGATCATACATCAGGTGACTGGCGGATCATCAATTAATCTATTAAAATATAATTTATAAATTTATTTTTATTTATTTAAATTATTACTAATATATTGAAAATAGCATAGCAGATATTCAATTTGATTGGCTTGAAGATCTCTGAGTTACACAACATAAATAAAAATTTTTAAAGTAACTCTTACTATATAAAACCATATCGTCAATTGGCAACTCGTAGTTTTACACAATAAACTTTTTTTAAAATATCTTAAAAGTATTCTTTACCTCTTTATATATCTATAGTGAAAAAAGATCAGTATAGATCATTATCACTAAAGACTTTACTTAGAGAGCAAAATTAGTAAGTAATACGATAATACAGTATTTAATGAATGAGTTATTTGGGCATTAATCATTCGTTATACTGTATATATATAAACTTTTTTTTTTTGTCTTCAAACTGCAACTAGAGATGTGGCGTACTTCACCAACTGACGGCATTCAGATCCAAATATTCTTTTGAGCAAAAAAAAAGATTTAAATTACTTTATATACGTATATATATGTGTTAAATACAGAAAATAAAGATTTACTATTTATATTAAATTTTTTAAACAATTATTACTGTATTATTGTAAATTTCTCCTTTACAAGCATACAAAAACACAGTGAACAATTGAAAATAAAGATATTGATAATTGCATGAAAGCATTCCAACTTAGAGCCTGGTGTGATTGAGTGAATTCCATATTGATGTTAAAAAAATTGGTGGAGGATTTGGTTCTGTATATTCAGCAACCTGGTCAGATGGTATACGAAAACTTGATAAAATTAATGACAGTGATAGCTATATCTACAAAAGAGCATGTGAGCTATCCAGCATCGTTATACTCAAGACATTGGCCAGTTCTGAGGAAAGCAATGATTTTTTAAAAGAAGTGGGTTAATTTATTGTTTTAATAATTTATCTAATAGTTTATTGAGCTAATTCATTGTTTAAACTTTAAGTTTAAAAGTCTTATTACATATAAATTAAATTATAGTAGTCTCGCAATATATTGAATAATCCAAAACACGGTCTTTCAGTATGCTAATAATGGAAGTCTTCATTACTTAAGAAAAAATTTTATTAGTTTTACATGGCAGACTAAATTACAAATACTTAAAGATACTACATATAAGTTATATAGTATTTATATACATCCATGCAGATTTTCACTGTAATAACATTTTGTATTAATAAAAATACATAATTCATATTACAGATCTTGGATTGTTTTGAAAAGTAGATTAGAAAGTTTCAACTAGCAAAATTTATGAAGTTATGCTCTAGGTGATAAGCCATTTACACAGATAGCAGATATTTATGGGTTTGGTGTTATTATAGTAGAAATGTCAACTGGTCAAAGACCTTTTGATGGACGTAAATTTAATTTTTTCATTTTATCATATTTTTCTCTACTTTTTTTTATGAGTAGAATCGACTCTGGACTTGGAATCGTTAAAATTGTTGGAATAAGGTTGGATACATTCGGGTAAGTATTGTTTTTTTTTTTTATTTTCATTTCGGTTCGTTATTTATTTTTCTTTTCTCCACTCTTCTTGTAAGTAGAATTGGTTTCGGACTCTGAATTGTTAAAATTAAGGCTGGATATGTTCAGGTAAGTGTTGGCATGTCTTTTTTTTTCATTTTGTTTCATCATTTATTTTCTTTTTCTTCACTTTTTTTGTAAATAGAATCGGCTTCGAACTTGGAAGCGTCGAAATCATAACTAGATGCGTTCAGGCAAGTATTGATAGTGATTTTTTTTCATCAACTCTTTTTCATAATCAGAACTGGCTTAGGACTTGAATCATTTATAGAAGTCAGAATTCGCTAAAGAGTGTATAGCCTGCCGAATGAAATTGTCTTGAAAATAAATAGTGCTCAAAGTGTAATACCTATGCCTTACTATCAAGGTCAAATTGAAGCTTTGACAAGTAGGCAGGTGTGAAGATCGTAAAGAGAGGTGGTGGTGATTTTTTTTCCTTTTCTTTTCATTTATTAGTTATTGATTATCTTTACCTTCACTTTTTTCTTATTGATGGTGATTCTTTTTTTATTTATTGATTTTTCTTTATAAGTAGAATCAACTCTGGACTTGAAACTGTTAAAATTGAGACTGGATACGTTCAGGTAAGTTATTGGCAGTAATTTTTTTTCGGTTTATCATTTATATTAATTTTCTTTCTCTCTACTTTTTCCATAACTAGAATCAGCTCTAAGCTTGGAATTGTTTGAATTGTTATTTAGTAAGTATTAGCGGTGATTCTTTTTTTTTCTTCGTTTTATCATTTATTTATTTTTTTCTTTCTTTCTATAAATAGAATTCTTTTTTTTCTTTATTTATAAGTAGAATTTGCTCTTGACTTGAAATTGTCAGAAATTGGCTCTAAACTTGGAATGGCGGTGAAATTGATCGGATTCGTTAGAATTTGAGAATTTAGGCTGGCAGGTTTCTTCTTTTGATCGATAAGTACCGGCTTTTTTTTTTTTGTTTGAAATTAATAATATTTTCTGATTTTTTTTTTTTTTGGTCTAGTAAATTAATACTAGACTTGGATGATCTAAATGGGCACAACTTATGTATGTTTGGGATATATGGCCATACCATCATTATGGTGTAGCTTGTTAATCGACTGGTAATATCGTCATAATTATGGTGTAACATTAATTGGCATAAATTGGTGTAATATGCTGATAGCCTTTTTTATTTTTTTTAACACGTATATGTATGTACATACGATGTAATAATAAAAATAAAAAAAGAGATGGTCTACCGACATAGCAATTCATATAACTTATCTTATTAGTACAGCGATTAGTAGGGACTCCCTACCAATTGTTGTGCTGATAAAAAGATAAGTCATGTGAATTGTTGTGTTGGTAGACTATCCCAATAAAAATTCTAAAGATAGTGATAGAGAAAACTTTGTTTACCACATGATTGAAATTTATTGGATAGTTATGAGATTGTTACAATTTTGTCCATTGGCTCGATTAACAAATCAGCAAGATACAAACCGCCTTTTTTCTACAAAAATTTATTATTAATAAAGATCGCTCAAGCACTACTTTTATATTTTAGCATATCAAACACAAACAAGAATTCAAAACAAATTTCAAACTGGTCTAAAAAAATAGCTACTTTATTTTTAATGCTCGAAGCTTTTAAAATAATAATCGACACCTTGATATAAACGCAATTCCATCTTTTAACATTTAACCAAACCGTAATGAATACTGCTATTCTATTTTTCGCTCATATAAACTTAATAAATTTTTTTTTACTTCTTGTTGCTGCAAAGCAACTTTTACTAATGATTCTATAAGTTGCTGCTGTTGCAGCAAAAGGTTAATATTGGTAAAATTATTAAAGAGAGAAGCCAACATAACCGAAGCTGAAGATTCGGCAATCGGTTGAACAGTAGTTTTTTTATTGGTTTTTTTTAGACATTTTAGGCGGTATAATAAAGATCAAGAAAAATAAAAAGAGTATGCTTAAGCATTTAATTCTATAAATATCGCTATTCATTATGATGCTTGAGCGTCATCACTATCATTCCTTAATTAATTGATTTAGATGCTTAAGAATGGTCTCGATTGAATTTCTTTATTCTTTAAAAAGATAATAAATAAAAAAATAAAGATAGTTTTGCTAATATTTTATTTATGTATTAACTCTTAATGAGTTGGATATTTAATAATAAATTTATATTTACAGTTTTCAATATTAAAAATTGTATAATTTGATTAGTTAATTATCATAGGCAATCATGGATAAATGATGATCTATATCATACATATTTGTTTACTTGTTTATATTTTGTTGACTAATGTCCACCATGCTCTTCTATAATTTTTGTTAAAGAATCATTAAATACTAAAGAATATAAGTCTTATATTTAAAATTATTTTTTATATTTACTTACTTAAGTAAATTAAAGAAAAGTGTTTTTTTTGTCAAATTTTACATATAAATTTGGGTGAGTCAACTTATTTGATTTATATGTAATAACAACCAAGGAGACATGTCTCACATCTGCTAAGCTCTAATCCAACTTTAAAAAAAACTTCTAACAAAAAGTCTAAAAAATTTTTGAAAATTTCATATTAGAATAATTAAAATTTTTAGCATTAGCCGTGACAATAAATATTAATACTTTATTCTTATTAAAGACAAATAAATTTTATTTATTATTTACAATAATCAAATTATATTTTATATTACAGTATAATTATATAATTGTAATTATTTGATTATATAATTGTAATAGTAAAGTTTAATTAGCTATATATATTAATATTATTGTAAAATAAATTTATAATTAAGGATAAATCTATAAAAAATTGAGATTATTTGTAATTTTTTGAATATTTTAAAAAATTCAAATCAATCTAGATAGTCTATTGTAGATAGAATTAGAACACTAGGTATATATATATAACCTTTTATTTTTATATGTTTTATTTAATTTTTATTTTATTATTACTATATACAGTATATTTAAATTTAATATATTTATTCCTGTGCATTATTGCACGGATTTATAACTAGTTATATATAAAACTAATGTTAACTTTTTTTTCTTTTTAAAATTAGAAAAAACTTTATTAAGTAAACTGGTTTTAAATTTTTAATTAAAGATGTAGAACATGTCTTTCTGATTTCAACAGTAGTAAAATCATTAAAATTGGTTAAATATTCATTGAGATACATGTATTTAAATATTTAGTATTATAAATTGTTTATAAATTATATAATGATTATATAATATAAACCAATTAAAATCAACTATTTTGTATAACCCAAAGAATTTAAACTGACTATGAAAAACTTACAATATATACAAGTATATTTTTTTAAATATTTGATTTATTAAAAATTTTACTATTATAAAGAATAGATATTAATCTATATAATAAACGATTACTTGAACCATATTTTCCAAAAAACATTTTATTGCAAAAAGAGATCTTACAAGCTGGCACTTAATATACTAGATAGTAAGACAGCATCTGTCATTTAGAAGTAGTTCTCATATGCTACTTGCTGACAGGCTCAGAGTTTATCACTCACTACAAAGTCTCGGCACTTGTCGTTTAAAGGTAGTTCTCATATGCTACCTGCCAACAAGCTCAGAGTTTATTACTCACCGAAAAAATATTAAGCAGGTGTTGGGCGGTGGGTTTTAACTATAGAAAAGAAAACTCACACTCCTTTAAATTGGTTAGAAGCTCAAGTAGTTTCTCTTTATCTCTTGTCATTTTTCCGTTGGTCTTCAAAAATTTTTTACAAAAAGTGAGGATTTGGCTTACTCCCTCCAAAAGATCGGCATTGTTTACTTACCAAATCTGGATGAACCGATAAATAGCAACCACGTGTTTGGAGACGAATACAGTGCATGGGCCCTGGAATGAGTCCTGGTCAAAAAAGGAATCTCTGGTGGCAACACCAAGTGGCTTGAGATACAAGTATCTGAGTGATAGTGCCTTTACAGAAATATTGCGATCTTTGTCATCATTGGCGCTGTATATGGAGAGTCAAATCCTAGTACAGTGGCAGCACTTGGTTTGAGATATAGACTAGGTTATTAAAAAGATTCAGAAATGGGTCGGAGAGAATTTTATTGTTAAGTTTAGTCTTACAACAGAGATATACAGATATTGCATCTGGTATATAATTTTTAAATCACCTGACACAGGTTATAATAGTGTATTCGAATCGCTTAATTTTTTTTTTTTTCTGCTTGTTTTATCTATTTTCATTTATATTAGAATTGGTTTAGGTTCTCATTTTCTTTTTTTCTATTTGTTTCATTTTCTCTTTTGTTTTTGTTTTCTTTTTTAGAACAATTTCTATTTTTTTTCGGTTATGAGGGAGCTTTTAGAGAGTTTCTTTAAATATACCTTCCCTCATAATGTTGGTATATATATTAGTCTTATGTAGAAGTAGGAGGTAATATATATAATCTGCTGGGATTTAAGTGGATTGAGTTTGAGAAGATATTACCAAAATTTAAAGTGTGATAACTCGAAAGAAGAGATCAGCTCTTAAAAGAAGTCTTTTTTTTGTAAATTGGCATATACGTTTGCACTACGCAGAAGTAGGAAAAAATATATTCTGTCTGAATATTGGTAGAATAAGTCTAAAAGGAAGGTAAAATATAATCGGTTCGGACGTAGGTAGCTGAGTACCAAGCTATAGCAGGTTTTTAAATACGGGTATTACTGTATGTAGAGCTTGTTGGCAACATCAGTGCGATAACCCTACTTGGGCACTTTTATAGCAGCCGGGTATTGTCTAATCCGTAAAGTTAGATAGTTAGTTTTGCAAAATTTTGTAAATTGCTAAAGTTTCTAATAAATTAGTATGAGGTTATCAAAGGAAAAAAAAAAAGAAAAAAAAAAAAATTTGATAGTTATAAAAAACTAGTTTTAGCAAACCAATTACTAAATTAAATACTTATTAAAAAATAAATTGACATATATATATATGTTTATATATACCTGTAATATTGCATTTTGAGAAATGCGTGTATCAAGTTATATACTAGTATTAGCTAAATATGACACTGCTATATCTTTTTTAATTTTTTTTTCTAATTATAATTTTATTAGCTCCAAGAATACACTTGTTGTTAGGAGGATGACTACGGCTATGCTTAACTGCAGGCATTTTAATTTCTTCATAGTTTGTAATATCATTAATATTAGTAGTTTTCAAATTATTATGCTATAAAATATTTAAATCTTTTTGTAGCTTTGGTATTTTGCCATCTTCAAGAATATATTTTAAAGCACTTTGCATAATATTCAATAAAGCATCATAGTAATATTCAGGCAACTTTTTGAAGATATTAGTAGCAAGCTGTGAAATATAATCAACTTCTGCATTATGTTATACATGCCAACATTGATGAACCTTATTTGGTAGAACGTGAATATGCAAATATAATAAATATACTACAATTACATATTGGTATGGTGTTCTAGTATGATATAGATATATACATGTACAAGTACTTGGTGTTTCAATATGCACCATACACATTATATTTACTTTATTATCTAATTGCATAACCTTATATATATTATCACAAAATTTCAAACCTCTATATTCTCTAAATCTTACAAGATCTCTTTGTTGTTTCACATAGGTTTCAAATACAAATTATGAGTATACTATACGTAATATTTTTAAATCTATATCTTGTATATCCTATTTTGATATACAAATGATTTGTATAAAAACTTTTGAAAGTTTTTGTAGTACTATTGCTACATTATTGCAAGTAATCTATTATATAGTATAATAAAAAAAAATCAAACAAGTTAAAATTTGCATTAACTAATGCTTAGAGACTGGACTCATTAACTCAAACTTCAAATAATGACTCAAGTTACTTGAGAATTAAATATATTTAGATTTAATTTAC